CGCGACGCACCGCACCCCCCCCCTGGCTGTCCCCCGCCGCCGCCACCACCGGGGGGCTCCCCCGCACCGCGAGCACCGCCGGGTCGGAGGACGTCCCCGTCAGTCTGTAGGAGGCGGGATCGTAGACGTCCAGCGGCGTCTGGCTGCCGTCGCTGAATCGGAGCCACACGCTGAGCTCAGCTTCCTGTGGACGAGACAACGAGACAAATGAGACAAACAAACTGTTGCCGAAGGGACGGGAGGACAGTTCTGTCGGTCGACTGTCGGGGACTCGAACCTGTCTGGGACGGCGCAGGACTTCCTCGGCGCTGGCGGTGGCCAGGACGGCCCGGTCGCTGCCGGGACTGAGCTGCAGAGACACGGAGAGTCCCGAGACGGGCTGGACCCGCAGGTCCGTGACGGACACCTTGTCCTCGACCACCCTGATGGTCGTCTCGGCCAGGAGTCGGTCGGACAGAGGGGAGGACACCTGCGGCGACAAGGGGGGGGGACGTTAAACAAGGACCAAAGAGACCAAAGGGACAAAAGGGACCAAAGGGACCACAGGGACCAAAGGGACCAAAGAGACCAAGGACCAAAGGGACCAAAGGGAACAAAGGGACAAAGGACCAAAGGGACAAAGGACCAAAGGGACAAAGGACCAAAGGGACCAAAGGGAACAAAGGGACAAAGGACCAAAGGGACAAAGGACCAAAGGGACAAAGGACCAAAGGGACCAAGGACAAAAAGGACCAAAGGGACCAAGGACCAAGGACCAAAGGGACCAAGGACAAAAAGGACCAAAGGGACCAAAGGGAACAAAGGGACAAAGGACCAAAGGGACAAAGGACCAAAGGGACAAAGGACCAAAGGGACCAAAGGGAACAAAGGGACAAAGGACCAAAGGGACCAAAGGGAACAAAGGGACAAAGGACCAAAGGGACAAAGGACCAAAGGGACCAAGGACAAAAGGGACAAAAGGGACCACAGGGACCAAGGACCAAAGAGACCAAAGGGACAAAAGGGACCACAGGGACCAAGGACCAAAGGGACAAAAGGGACCACAGGGACCAAGGACCAAAGAGACCAAAGGGACCAGGGACCAAAGGGACCAAGGACCAAGGACCAAAGGGACCAAGGACCACAGGGACCAAAGGGACCACAGGGACCAAGGACCAAAGGGACCAAGGACCACAGGGACCAAAGGGACCAAAAAGGGACCCGGGGTCACGTGACCGTCCGGTTCCGCTCACCTGGACACTGGTGGTGCCGGGGTCTCGTCCCAGCAGCACCCACGTCCCCCCGCCGCCGCCGTCCTGGAGTCGGGCCACCCGGGTGTCCTCCACCTTGGTGAGGTGTCGGACCATCCTGGAGACGTCCACCAGCCAATCAGAGCCCAGGAAATAGGCCAGGGGGTCCCGAGGCTCCGCCCCCTCCGCCACGAAGTGGGTCAGGACCCGGAGCAGGGCGTGTTGGTACTGCAGGGCGCAGCCTTTCCCCTTCCTGTCCCTGTCCTCGTCCTCGTCCTCGTCCTCGCTGGTCCACATGGGTCTGGACGAAGAAAAAAAAAAACACCAGAGGAAACACAGGTAGTACTGCAGTACTGGGGTAGTAGTACTGCAGTAGTACTCTGTGGTAATTCTAGAAGGACCACCGACCCACGGGACTACTGACCCACAGGACTACTGACCCACGAGACTACTGACCCACAAGACTACTGACCTACAGGACCACCGACCCACAAGACCACTGACCCACAAGACCACTGACCCACAAGACTACTGACCCACAGGACTACTGACCTACAGGACCACCGACCCACAAGACTACTGACCCACAAGACCACTGACCCACAGGACTACTGACCCACA